AATTCAACGATTAAAGGCGTACATATTATACGCGACTCAACCACCACTGAGACAACGGTAACATCCCACCAAAAACAAGACACCAAACTGCTCATTGACACCCGCGAACGAGTCCTGACACGGAGATCCTTCGATGTAGCTCTCAAGAAGCTCCTTTGAAAAAAAAAAAAAAAAAAGACACCACACTCGACTTGTTATAATATACACCGTTCGGTGGCGGTTTAATGCGATTAAAACGAAATCGAGATCAAAGAGGGGGGGGGGGCGAAGGAGCCTATGGGGAACAGGTAGCGCCTCTCCCCATTTTTATTTTTTCGAGTGTCCCTTTTTCAGCTTGCCCCGTGTCGCTGTATATACACGTGTCCCCCTCGGCGTGTATTTATAATCCTGCGTGTCTTCGCCGCGAACGAGCAGCTAAACCAGTTAACCGATTAAAAAACTCGGGCGTAGGTATACACCTACACCGCGCCTCTGAGGGATATTATACACGCGTGTGTGCAGGTATGGATGTACTCGTACTCGACTTGTTGGTAAGACGCGAGTGAGGCTCGGGCGAGAGTTTCTCAGGGAGAGAAGGAGCGTGTGAGCGAGAGCGGCTGGGTGTCTCCTTTTTTTTTCCCTCCGCTTCTTTCGGTGCGAAAAAGTCCCGGCCACTTCTTTCTCTCTCTCTCTCTCTCTGTTCCGTCGAGGAATAAATCGCGTCTTGGTTTCGCGATGATCTTCGGGATGCGCTTCGTCGCTTTAGCGTGAGGTGGCGAGGCTACTTGCTGTGTGGGTCGAAAAACATATGTATGGCGTGCCATTGGTCACCCGCGTAATTTGCCGTTTTGCGGGGAATCAATTAGGTTTTGAGTTATTGCACGGTGATGTATGTATATACAAACCTCCGCACGGGTGTGCTAACGCGTTGGGACTTATTTATTTTTTTTTCGGCGTTTCTTCTTTTACTGGCGAGTGATTGTGCATCGGCGAAAGGTTTGAGGGTCGATGGTGATTTGTGGCCATTTTCAAGGGGAAACGACAAGTTGGGCGTTATTAATGTTTTTGCACAATTTTTTTTTTTTTCTTTTTTTTTCTTTCTGTTTAAAACAACACGCGTTAGCTCGCATGCCCCCAAAAAATTTTCAGGGGTAAGTTTTCTCCAATATTTTTTTTTTTTTTTTTTAATTACAGTGCTCTACGTCCAGCTCCTTTAATAAGGGCACTACTATGGGCACTTAGCACTTGGAAAAGGGACAAGGAAAGGGATGGAAGGCCTTTCATTAAAGAAGGGGGAAATTAGGCAATTTTTGCTGCGAGAAGGTCGCCTAAACTCTCCTCGAGGAGCATTGCGTGGTGAAAAAGCACATGTGAACAATCACAGAGGTACTTGCCCGAAGTACTCGATAGTTAGTGTAAACCAATACTTACTTCCTCAAACTAAGGAGTTATGGTTATAAAATAACTTCCCAACGTTGAAGATGAAAAAGGACGTCAATTTCGATGAAATTCAAAGATAAATATTTGTGTATTTATTGAGTAAATGATTACTTTTGCGGTAACAGGTACACAAGTACGGTAACACCAGCACACCGTTTATTTTATTTGTTTTAAGAATATTGTACTGCAGTTTAAAAAAAAAAAAAAACCTTTTTAAATGTTTCGTTCGTGTATAAGATTTTCAGTGATCCACACTTGATATAGGTACACTTGCCCTTAGTGCGATTGGTATCCCTTGTGTGGGGGTCTTTTAACCATTAGCTGCAAAACAATGGGAATTTTACATATAGACTCAGTTACACTTGTTCAACTCTTTGAATATCGAAACTCTATACCAAAAATACCCTATCAGCCATTCAGTGACCCATAACGGCAATCCGTGATGGTAAGAAAAAAANCTAAGCTTTTAAGTGTCTTTGTAGGATCATTTGCTTGGGGTGGTGGATATGGAAACTTGAAGAAACCCCGACTTTCCCCGAACGCACTTCCGTCCGGCAAAGTTCGCTCTTCCTATCGCGCAAAATCCGATCAGCGCGGCAAATCACGGCAAAGACCCCCGCCGCGGCCCAAAAGTCCCGAAACACCGCAAACTCCCCCAACATATATCTGGACGATCGGATCTTGCGCGCGAGCCGCAAAAGCTTGGCGCACTCGCTCTCGAATATTACAGCTGTACATAAAACCACCGCTGCAGAAAGTCGAGAGAAGGAAAAAAAAAAAAAATAAATAAATAAAAAAGAAAAAAAAGAAACAGCAGCAGGAGGAGGCGAGAGAGGCGTCCAGAGCTCTCGAGACACATAAAAAGAGAGAGAGGTCCAGAGGGGAGTCGTGGGAGCCTGCCGGCTCACCCATACACTGCATCGCGTACACACACACGCACGGCATGGACCTCTATACGTATACAAAAGAGAGAACGAGAGAGAGAGAGGCAAGGAGCCCTCGAACGTGGAAACATTACAAATGTGCCGTGACGCTCGACGGGCCTGCAGGTATATGGGCGTGACGCCGCGCAGACCTTTCGCTCTCTCTCTCTCTTCTTCTTATACCGTTCTCGGAAGACTTTTCTGTCCATCTCTCTCTACGTGTGCCTCTTGTCCTTTCGGCTCATCCCCCACGTTCGATTCGTCGCGGGTGTGTGTGGTTTTCGCGCCCGCGAATAATCGCGACGCGTACACTGCACCCGGATTTGTTTGAGTTTTAGCCCCCCTTTTGAGACGAGAAAAGTTCATTTTTTTGGGTACACCCACTGGTATACTTATATGGATGAGAGGGAGCTTTCGTGCTTTGCGATCTTTGCTTCGAGAGCCGTGAAACACTTGTTGCGAGGCACCGTGTCAAAACAAGGTAAACCAAGTTGTTGTAATCGATCAAACAGTAAAGACAATACGATCGATATATTTACATAGGTGTAAATTTTTGTACTGGATAAATAATAAATTGTTTTCAATTTTGTAGAAAGAATCGATTAATTATCAGAGATTCGATATCAAATCGATCGATTCTTTCTATATGATTATAATAATTTATTTACCAAGTACAAAATACACCTTTATTGTAGTGCGAAGATATATCAGTTGTGATACTTTCACACCCCTAAAAAAGTATTTGATACTTGTTTGATAAACCGATTATTACATTTTTATGGAAAGAACCGACCAAACCATTAAAGACCCACATGAGCTGATATCCTCGCACGCTAACGAAGATGTACTTTGTACTTGGCGAATGACTTGAAAGAATCGACGGAACATCAGAGCCGCAACAACAAAACTCTTTGCACAACCGATAAATGAGCTTCAACCCACGCATTTCGACACGTACGCATTTACATTGCCCGGGCGAAAGATTTATCGCACCTCCGTAACTGGAAACGCGAGGAATGCGAGCAAAAGCTACCGCAGCTATTTTTTCCTTTTGTTTTTTTTTTTATATTTTTCTTCAGCTTCCATACCGACTTAGCCCTCAACAGCTCGCGCATAATCATCAATTTGCTCTTGTCAACGTCGAACTTTAACGATGGGAACCCCCGGCGGGTGTATAAATATATATACATACACATGCAGTGGTTTGAGGTTGCGTCACCCCTTGTACACCTATACATATTGTTATTATAACCCGAAACGCTCCGGAGGCGGGCAACAACGATTTGGCCAAGGAGAAACAGAAACGACCAAGTTTTTATTACCCATCAGCTCCTCGGCCCCCAAAGAAACACCCATACCCAGCTACATCCTCGCCACGTGAGCTTTTTCGCCGCGTGAAAATTTCCCAAGTTTTCCGCGCCCCCGTACTTATATACACACACGAAGAAGAAAAAAAAAAAAAAAAAAAAAGGCTAGCCTTTTCCACCTCCTGGCTCTCCCCGTCGTATATAATAATATATACCTGCACTTCAAGTTCATAAATCCCATAAATTCACGTCGCGTCCGTATACCTGTACGACTCCCCAAGCTCCTCTCGCGAGAAGAAGTAAAAAAGAGAGGCACATATAACACCCGGCAGTATTTCGCTGCATGGCATTATATTCTAGGAGGGGGGGGGGACCGTAAAGCAGTCTATTAATGATCTTTACGGCTCCGCGAGCCGCGTATGTATATATGGTCCTTTTTGCCTCTTGCCACGGGCGCGTGTATATATTCATCCCGGCTCTCCTGGAAACGTGAATAGGCCGAGCGGGAGACTTGAAAAGAAAAAGGCCGCCCGACGAGCAAGCGCCACCGACGCGCTTGGCTTTTCGGCTTGACGCCGCCTGTGTGTGTGGGGCTCCCTCGATGACGACGTCGTTCATTAGACCATACGTATATATAGAGATTTTTTCTTTTTTGGGAACGATCCGAGCTTTTGATCGAGGGGGGGGGGGGTAATAAAAATATCGAGCTTACGAGGGAAAATCGGGGATATACGTACGAAGAGTTGGCTGGGGTTTTGTTTACAGTCTTCTTTTGCCCGGCGTTATTAATAGACGCCCTCGTCGTTGCAAACGAGTTTCGCGAGCTCTGATGTATTGTTGCCGTATCACGTAAAGTGCTTTAAGAAGGTCTTTTTTTTTGTTGAGCGATTGGTTGATGAAGGCAATTACGGTGGCATGGAGATGTCGGTCGGGTGATTTTTTTACTTGGGTTTTCTAAGATTTTACCGAAGGGTTTTGCAGAACAAAAAATTGTGAAATTCGGATTTAGGAGTTAAGCATATGGTAGAGAAGATATTTTAAAAAACAAACCGCACTAATAAACAATCAAAATGTGTTTTACAAAAGCAATGCTTAATTGTCCAACATCCATGTTAAAAGATAATGAAATTTTTTTTTTTTTTAATTGCGTTTTTATTAGCAAGAATATATTAGACAATACAAAAATGAATTGGTGACTTCACCTGTTGAAATATACGTAATATTGATTCAGGAATTATTAGTGACCCAATGCTAAATACAAAAAAAAAAAAATATTCAAAGCAATAATTAATTGATGAACATTGTATAATAACATTGTTTTTTTTTTTTGTTGTTTTACCATTAATTGCAGGCGTTACGGCACAAAATGCGGCGGCTGCGCTCAAGGCATCAACCCGCAGGATCTGGTGCGAAAGGCTCGCGACAAGGTCTTCCACCTGAACTGCTTCACGTGTCTCGTGTGCAGAAAACAAATGAGCACGGGCGAGGAGTTGTACGTACTCGACGACAACACCTTCGTCTGCAAAGAAGACTACCTATCGGGAAAGCCTTTGCCAATCGGCCACCACATGCACGGACGACACGGTAAGTGGCACCATTACGTGGCTGATGGTTTTTTTTTTTAATTATTACTATTACACATGTTTTAAAACATTTTTGTAAACCACACGAAAACCTTAAGGCATTTATTCAAGTTATTATTAGTAAATAATATATACATCGATGTTATAGCTCATCCTGACCCATCTCATATCTTCTTCAAAATTGTATTGTAATTTAATATTTTATTCAATTGATTATCATAGGTCTTTTGTCCGATACCTTTGTTTATGTTGTTATCAATCGTTTTGGAAGCAAATACCTACGAAATGTTATAATTTTTTATAAATGACGGTGCACACCGTAAAAAAAGTAAATATATCAAATAACTGCGATGATAAGAAAAGTTAAATATCGTGTTTTAATTCTGTATGACAACTGATCCATTTGATTCAGTACCGAGTGACGCATGGTTCGATTGGTAAAACATGTTTGTGCCTTAGGACCACACATTTCTGTAAGGTTCGTGAATAGTAAAACTCACCAATGGCCAAAATAAAAATTATATAATTACTGCATTGGCGTGAGGTCTGTTTTTTTTTTGTATTTTATATTAACTACATTTTCCAACGGTATCACATGTACATTGCAATAATCCACGAGTCATATACCGTAGGGATCACTCCGAGTGAATGTCGCGATCGTACAGCCCGACACCCCATGGATACCAATTCATGGAAGGAAAAAAAAGAGCGTACATATAGGTACAGACGCGAGAAGGACTCAACGTTACCAAACACACCAGCAGCAGTGGCGAGGCTAATTTGTAATAGTCAAGTTTGCCGGAGACGTGTCACGCGACACTTGACGAGCTTCCGAAAAAAGTACGACACGGGAACGAAGTATACGGGGTCTCCGTATCTGACTGACAGTTCTGCCAAGCGAGGAGGGGGGGGACCGTTGCTCCCTATTTTTTTCTCTCTTGGAATGAAAAAAAACAAAAAAAAAAAAAAAAAAAATGTGCCACACGAACGCGTGCCACTCCGCGATGGAGCCGTTTGTGTGCGCTTTGCGGTCGAGTTTGTTTCCCCGTACACAAAGGCGCTTACGGGAGAAGGAAGGGCGACCCGACATTTTTCTCTCTCGCCGCGGAGGAAGAAAAAGAGGTGGAGAGACAAGAAAACTCGGGAGTTTCACGCTGCACTGGCTTCATCTTTCCTATACGGCACACGCGGAGGGTCAAAGAAGGGGGGGGGGGAGAGGAGGCGGAGAGGGTCACAGTTCAACGCGAAGCGAGAACCGAGATTTCTCGGGGCCCGATAGAGTCGAGTAACATATGGAAGGGAAAAAAGGGAATGCGCGTACAACGCAGGGGAGAGCGTGAAAAATTGAGACAAAAGGTCGGCCCCCCTTTTCTCCCCTTGCCCCCCCCCCCGTGTATACGTAAAAAAAAAACCGCTGGGGTATTTCGTGCTTCTTTTTCTCGAGAGTGCCTTTTTTTGAGTCCTCCTCCTTTTCGAGTTTTCTCAACAGAGTCCTGTGTACTTATCGATTGGGTCCACACGCGTGATAAAACCCAGTAAATAACATCCGAAACGCACGTGAGGGCGATAAATACACCGGCCGTGGGTTCAAAGTGCACATGCATCTCTCGCGTATATCCGACGAATTTGTCCGCACGGTCTCGCAGAAAGAGGAGAGAAAAGAAAAAAACAAACGAGCCCCCCCTCAAATTTATCGACGTAATGGCGTGTAATATAAGGTAAAAAAGAAGACGCGCGGACGGGGGAGACGATAAATCGCGAGGGATACGCTTTATTTATTGTCGCTCGCTCGGCCAAGGATTTTTCATCCCCAAGTGGTTGTTATTAACGATCGACGCCTTCGCCAATAGTCATACGTATAATACATTACGCAACAAGTACAGGTTCGGGTTTATGTATATAAGATTTTTACTCTTCACGGAGTACACGAGAAGTGCACACCGGCTCGTCAAAAAAGTAACTTTCTCGACACAGATTCAGTTGCTGTTACACGAGAGATCAACTGCACGTCACAAAAAAAGTCAACCGTGGTACATATGTATAGGTACGCGTCGGAAAAAAATCAAGGGAAAGAATAAAAGACACGGAGAAGGCGCGAAGAGAGGGAGAAAGAGGAGGGTATAACACAACGCGGCAGGGTGTGGAATCGATGCCGGGTCAAAGTCTTTTTTTTTTTTTTTTTCTTCATCTCGGGGGACACGCAAGGCAAGCTGTGAAAATAAGCACCGATGGCCCTGCACCTTGGCGAGTGTGTTTTATTAGGGCGTCTCTTCTGCGACGATTTTTTCGCGCGGACCGCGTACACCGTAACAGTCAATGGTACACATGTATATGCTCCCTCGAAAAAAAAAAAAAAAAAAAAAAAAAAAAAAAGAGGGAGAGAGATAGAAGCGTTTTGTAACGACGAGGAGGAGAGCAGAGGGAACGAGAAGCGAAGGTCGTTACGTTACGCAGCGGGTTCCTTTTGTCGGCGCGCCGACCGTATACAGCGCGTGCAACCGCAAGCTGAGCAACGAACCCTATACAATACATACATGTTTTTATACATACCGCACGTCCATTGGGCGCGTGTGTAATAAGAAAGAACAATAATTATTGTGGGCCATGGTACACGCACGGGCCTCCCGGGAAGGTGTATACACGGTTATCATAGCGTTATTAGCGCGTGTTATTTCAGGTAAGCCCCGACTAATCGACCCGGGGATTCGACGCGCTTGTACTCTTTTTCTCTTGGATGTATATTGTGATGCGCGGAGGTGTTGGCTTTCTTCGCGAGATTGAGGAACGACGGTGGGTGGTAGCCGTCTTTTGAGCGCTAAGGTGATCGATGGAAAAAAAAAAAAGAATTGTACGCTGATGACTTTTCGTTGTGTATGTATACGATTGCCGATTGCGTCGATCGGTGTTTCTTTTCTCTGCTGGTTGTTGTCATCGACAATGGGTAACATGTTTTACCGTACAGTAGAGAGTAAATTTTGATATTTTGTGGCTGAAAACGATGAAAGAGCAGCGAGCGATGTAAAAATGAGTGAAAAGAGCTTCGGAGGGTGATAGATGGAAGAGGTAAAAGGGTTGAGGCGAAACAAGGGAAGGGGGCTTTATGGCAAAATTCAAAAGTTGCCCGATCCATATCTCGGCCGATGGTCAATTGCTTTTTTTTTTTTTGCCTCTCGTCGCGAGGACACCTGCGCGTTTGTTGTATAAACGTACGCTATCCGACACCTGCTTCCGCGAGCTTTTTTCCTCGGATGATTCGAAAACGTTTTTGTCCCATCGAGTTTTGGTTCCGTCCAAAGCGTCGGACCCGGTAGGTTACTTGGTCGGGACAGAGTCTCCTCGCGCGTTCGCAAGAGTGTTCGAGACTTGCACGTATCGATCACGAAATGTGTAACGAGGCAGAGACGCCACAGCTTTGTGAAATATAGTGGAAACGAAAGAATAAATAATGCGTCTCAGAAACACCGTTGGAAGTACAGAGATCCCTTTTTTTTTGCATGAAAAAACGTTATCAACTTTTCCAAACAAAAACCATGAGTCGAAAATAGAATAACAATGAAATAAGGAACTTGTCATGTTTCTGCTTGCAGGTGGCGACTCGTTAATGGGTTCCGGCTCCGAGGACGAGGACGATGATGGCAGCGGGATGGGTCACCAGCATCCCGGCGGTGTTGGCGTGCCGCACCTCGGCATCCACGGTATGGGCCCGGGCGGCCCTGGGGATCAGGTAGTCGGGCCCGGCGGCGATTTGCCACTCGGCACCGATCCCTGCAAACAGGAGGACTCCGAGGACCAAGGTAACGTCACCATGTCTCGCGTGTCTGTCGATCCCCACTGAAAATTTGTATTTTGCCGACAAGGCACCGCGCCAACGTAATTGCAATGCCACCGATTTTACAAAACCAACGCGTACTTATACTGTACCTCAACAGACCACGAAAGAAATAAGCATCAGTGCCAATAAACCGAGAACGATGATCTCACTCTCTCTCTCCTATACTTTTCCACTAGAGATGCCTCCGTAAAATACTCTTCGTCTCCTCGATGCTACTATCGCTTCACGTGCACCAATGCATACACCCCCACAATACAGAGCGGTCTAGCCTCGAGACGAAAGATCACGAGTTTCGCCTTGGGCTGTGGGTGCACCCCGCGCCTGATTACAGCTCAGCCGAGAAAACGAGACACGGAGGCTCGGGAAAAAGGAGGCCACGCGCCGTTAATCCGCCACGCTGTGCACAGGGTCTCCCCATTACCCACTACACCACCGTTTTACTGCAGCCATGACCCGCGACAGTGATGAATCCCCCAAGTTTCACATACAGATATAAATATATAATTTTCCAAGCATATCCTGTCGCATCGACGCGTATACCCATCACGCGCGCAAGTCTCGAAGAGCCGAGAGACCAGACGCTGTCCAAACATTGTCCTTTGTCCCCACGCGGGCCAACTGCAATCGCGCCCGGCTTACCGGCCCAAAGCCTCACACGTATAGATTTCAGATCGGAATAATAAGTTCAAGAGACAGAGAGATGAGGGGGGGTAATCTATAGCCCGGAGGGAGGAGGCGCTTCGAGTAGAGCACATCCTATACAGCGTCAGGGGTGTGCGCGCTCTGTTTTGTTAGTGTCCCCGGGAGCATAATGTGCGCCCCCCGAGCCACTCTTTCCTTCGATACAGACACACAGGGGGGGGG